AAATTGCAAAATTAAATTTTAAGCATGACAGCTTTTATCTCTTTATGCTTCAGTCTCCAGGTCAGTCTAAACGTCTGTCAGTGAAGCTGTATATCCATTTATCTCTTTAGTTTAACAAAATCTTCATTAATTTATCTACATTCTCATATTTTTTGCCTCTTTATCAAGTCATCTGTTTATGCATCTACTTTTAAGATGCTTTTTTCTCCAACAAATTTCCCCGATCAACTTAGCTTCGCATAAAGTGTGTCTCGCCATTCATTATTAATGCCTCATTTCGCGCGATTATTTGTGATTTCAATGCATTCTTCTCGCATTTTCACCATTTCCCAACAGACTCCTGCTTCCCAGTGTCCATGCTCGCGAGTCTGCCAAGCCACTCCTTCGCCAACGGCGATACTCGCTGCAACTTCGTCGACCTCATCGCCACCGGTCGGTCCTCTCTGGCGTCTGGCGACGCCGGACTCAGCGTCGCCGTCAGCAACGCTGGCGCAGGTCTCAGAAACGCGACATCTCTTCGGCCCAACTACCATGGCGACACGGGCGTCAGCCTCAGTGGCTCTAGTCCAAGCAGTGGACTGACGGAGAGTTGTCAGTTGCGACTCTGCTCCGAGTACACCGGCAGCAGTTTGGCTGGTTCACCTGGTCGGTCGGGCCGATGTGCCGGTGGGGATAAACTCGAGGACAGATTGGTCTTGGCGACGGCCGGACTGTCCTCTTTCGTCTCGGCACCCCCGCGATACGATCAGTTGGACAGCCAAAGCCCAACGTATATGGTGAGTGTGTTTTCAAGTGTGGTCAGAATTTAATTCACGTCTGCCTACTTGTTAACTACTGACTAAAATAAGAGTCAGGGTGATGCCAGTAAAATGAGGCAACTCACACTTGCCTCGTCGGTATCCAGAGTCCCGATAAAGGCCTTGGGCAAACAAATGCCAACAAATTAATCTCTGTAATTTTTGCCCATAATATTTTGTATACAAAACTACTCTCGTAACTTTAGTAGTATTATTTAATTCACGTCTGCCTACTTGTTAACTACTGACTAAAATAAGAGTCAGGGTGATGCCAGTAAAGTAAGGCAACTCACACTTGCATCTTCGGTATCCAGAGTCTCGATAAGGGCTTGCAACAAACAAATATCAACAAAATAATCTCTGAAATTTCTGCCTTTAATATTTTGAATACAAAACTACTATCGTATCTTCAGTAGTATTATTTAATTGACGTCTGCCTACTTGTTAACTACTGACTAAACTAAAAGTCGGTATGATGCCAGTAAACGCTTAGAAACACCAAAGTAGGACTTTCATCCAAGACAGATGGCAGATTTCCAGCATTTTTGTCCAAAGTCCCTCGGCACTAATTATGGTCTTTCGTTGAAGACTGAACGACTCTAAATGGAATAAGTTCAGTCTATCGATGAAGTGAGGCAACTCACACTTGCCTCGTCGGTATCCAGAGTCCCGATAAGGGCCTTCAACAAACAAATATCAACAAACGAATCTCTGTAATTTTTATCTTTAATATTTTTTAAATACAAAACTACTCTTGTATCTTCAGTAGTATTATAAAGTTAGCTAGAAAAATAAATCTCGAATCTATAGGTGAATTTTAAGAAATTGCATTCAAGTAATATATTGAATTAACTTATAATTATTGTGAAATTCTAAGTATGCTAAAGTGATTTGTTGATAGACTCCTCCGGAACATGACGCTGGATTCATTACTGCTACCTGGCGAATGACTTTAACGTAATATGAAAATAGTAACCTTCGAAGCGAGTAGAATATTTGCAGACATGCAATTGATTCCAACCCATTGTGAATGTTTTAACGATGCCTATTAAGGCAACACAACCGAAAGATTAGCATAAAGTGATTGGAATGATAATATGGTGAAATGAGGATTTTTATGCTTTACACCAAGGTCATCTTCTTTCGAGTTCTGAAATTGCCAATTTCTTAATCAAATTTTCCTTTAAAATAAAATTCAAGCAACATTCCGTCAAAAAACGGAAAAAGCTGGATAATTATTTTTATATATTATAAGTCTTCTCCAATTCTTATTTTAATGCTATGACTAACGGTTACAATATAAGTAAAGTAATGCAGCATAGCAAGTATCATCGCTTTTTGTTTCAACAATTGCTCGTATATAAATTTATCTCACGGAGCCTACTTTAAACGCTTCGAGTCTTCTTTGCCATCTTTGAAATTGCATAACTTGCATTTCCGGATGTGGCTTTCAGACCACATTAACTTGGCGCCGTTTTACCTTTTTTTAACTTATTTTATCTGCTACTTCAAACA